ATATTTATACTATATAATTCCTAAATATACACCAAATATATATGTATACCGTACTAATATGTGAAAAAAAACACGTCCCCGGGATCCCCACGGCTGATAAACCCTAAAGGTGTGAATCCACAGTCAAGATGGTCGGCTGAAGTGATCCTGGGACCGCTTCGTCATTATATTTTTAGCCGTCCTTGAAATGACAACACCCAGGTTAGAGTCAATATTACGAGGGGGGATTACAAAATATGTGTGATGACATATTACAAGAATCACAATGACTTTTGCTTTGGTTCAAATCAATTAACGGTTAAACCATTGTTAAAAACATGGCAGTTCCCAGCCCCTTGGACTTGAACAAAACCCTCCAGCAGCAACATTTATATCATCATATATTTGTGAAATTGGCTTGAGCGAGCCAAAACGTAGGCTTAAGCGAGGTAACGCGAGGTACTGACCTGGCAAACCTCCCGAGTTTTGGTTGTGTAAAGAGAAACCAAAAGGTGGTGAATGACAGATCCGACTGGTAAATTGACCTACCCGTCTGGCACGTTAAAAGGAAATAAAACCTAAAACTAAACAAAAGGACATGTTGACACAAATTCGGAGTTTGTAGCACGCACAAAAAGAAACAAAAAGGTTCAAAAACGATCCAAAACAATATAATGTCTATCATTTTTTTGCAGGCAAGAGATGCCACCCTTACCCACAAGAACAACCCCTAACAAAATGCCAAGGTCTGACTTCCATGTTGCAAGGAAAAAATGATGTTGTGTCCTTCTCTTGAGACCCTGTCTGTTGATGTCCTTCGTCATTTCAACATCCGCGACCCAGGTTGATAGATGTCACAAGGGTTTTTTTGCGCCGGGGATATTATATATGTATATATGGTTGTTGATCAAAATTCCTTTACGGCCATTCTTCGCGAATAAAAATTTTACTTTCGCGAAACTTTCGCGAACTCCATGTTTATCTTTCGCGGGGCCCATGTTGGCCAACAACACCTCTTATGAAGATTCGTTCACCACCTGCCAAATTGCGCCAGAGAATCACGGATCACTTCTTGGTAGCCTGTTAAACATGCAGCTAGCATCACGGAGTCCCTTCTCAGGACAGGTTTTTTTTGCAAAGTTTACTGGCTCACCCCCTTCAACATGCACTTTGACTTTCGCCCGCTCTTTCGCATAACTTTCGCGGAACTTTCGCAAAAATATCCCTATTCACAGACCCCGGCCATCAGCAGGGGGTGCACTGAAGGAAAAGCGAAGACCAGGGGCCTTGGTGTTTGGCTCTCGCAAAGCCTCACTTTTGGAAACTTGGCTACTGCTACTCGCATTCTCTGGTGCCCTTCTCCTGCCGGACCCCGGGCGGCAGTGGGTGGCAGCCCTTTACATCGAATGATTATAATACCCAACTTTCGCGAAACTTTCGCGAAATAAAATTTTACTTTCGCGAACTCGAAAAAAAACTTTCGCGAGGGTTTCCAACATAACATGCGCGGCTTTCGCAATTAAAACTCCTTACAAGGACCTTTAGATCGATCACCATATATGTGTGTATATATACATACATATTCCCAGTGCATTCTCAATCATATTCCCGTTATAGTCCCAGTATATATAAATCCATGTTATAGTTGTTGGTTAAATTCATTATATTATCATTATATAATATGGGTGTTTCTTAAAATGGGGGATCACCAAAACCACGACTTGACTTGGATGATTTGGGGTGTACCTCCATGACTTCGGAAATTTCATGTATATCACTGTATATCGCTTTGATATTCCATATATGTCCCATTATCATTTCATTCGACCCACTTTGGAATTGTACCAAGGCTTGCCGTCTTGAAAATTCATCGAAGGTGATTTCATCCTTGGCATTTCAGAGGATTCCAAGTCTTCAAACTTCCCAGCAAATCCACATCAACAATGATCATCCATGAACAGTCTCAGTTACCAACCAAAAAAAAACACGTGTTCAATCATCTTCAGCCCTTCAATCCTGTTCATCAATCAAAACAACACATCAACGCTTGACGTTCATGACCTTCCCCGGCGGCATCTCAAGGTTTAGCTGCCGCTTGCGCAGCCTCAAGCGCCTTGCCTGTGCACTGGGAGGATGTCGTTGAGCGGATTTTTGTTTTGGAGCAACCCCCAGTTACCATAAGTTTCAAGCCTAATTGTTCTAATGACTGGATGATTTGGGGGTATCCCCATTTTGGGAAAGCTCCATTTGAAGAAAGGGGAAGAGTTTTTTAGGTCTCTGATGTTTCTGAAATAGAGGAACACCCCAAACTTGATGCACTTGATGCTTAATTAATCACTGTTGTCCCAAAACATGTGCAACCATCAACACCATTTTCACACACATTCCACATTCTATGAACATCTTGAGGTTACCATTTCTTATGCTTTAAAGTGAATTTCACCCAGGTGTTCCATATATCAATCGTATCCTCAGCTACTTCAGAAGGGTCATCAGTACTGCAATGTTGGTTTGGCACATGAAAATTTAGAAACCTCCGTGCCTTCTCCACATGTCACCCCGAAATCCCAAACTCTGGATGCATCAGCCATGTTTTCTTCACCTGCCAGGTGAGGGCCTCTAGATATTAACAAAGGTGTGCCTCACTCACTCCTGCTCATTCCTACTCCTACTCACTCCTTCATTGCTTCCGGATCCTCTCCTCGCCGCCTCGCCTACTGCTTTGCCAGCCCGGTGCTGAACACTACATCGCCAGCTCCGGATGCAGTGGGCCACGCCTGGACCCGAACCCTATATCGCAAGTTCAGAATGCAGTGGGCCACGCCTGGACCCGAACACCTGCCAAAAAGAATGCCAGATATAGAACGTCAGAATAGATGCCAGATAGAATGGCAACTAGATGCCAGATAGAATGCCAGAAAGAATGTCAGAATAGATGCCAGAAAGTATGTCAGATAGAATGTCAGAAATTATATGCCAATATATGCCTAAGATATATATATATATATATTATATATATATATATTATACTGTATTATGTATATATATACTTCCAGATGATGTCAGAAACCATGTCAGAAACTTGTGTGTCAGGCTCGGGATCACTCGAAGTAAAAAAAAAAAAACGGCAGCTTTCCCAGCCCGGAGCCGAAGCATTCCAGACCTCTTCCCGCCGCACGTGGTTGTGATATTCAGATGTGTACAAGTCCTGGAGTCGGAAGATGTGGGTGTGGGTGAATAGCCTTTTTGCAAAGGTGAACATCCTAAGAATGATAAGATATGATAAGATTACCATATGGTTATTTAACATAGCTATGGAAAATCGATTATAACATATTATATAATGGAGGTTTCTAGCTGGGAGAATCATCTGTAAATGGGCCATTTTCATCCATTTTCCATAGCTATGTTAAATAACCAGAGGGTATGATTGAGACGATGCATACGTTCACCCAATTTTGGGGGAATGTATGGCTGGCCCACAACCAGCTGTCAATTCAGGAACGACCAGCCCTGGATCTGCAGATTGTGAGCGATTGTGCGAAACCATCCAGTGTTCGGATCTTGACTTCAAACACCAATCACTATATTCACTATGAAACTGCTATGGAATACTGCTATGGCTTTGGAATACTGCTATGGAATACAGCTATGGCATACTGCTATGGTTGCACATCCAGTACAAGCATGTACAAGTTCTACAAAAAAGAAGACATGAAATTCAGGACAAGTCTGCATCAAAGTTCACTGGCCTGAAATTGCCGAACTGGTTTTATTTATGGCATCCTCAAATGATGCTTACCGAAAATCACCATGTTGAATCGGTAAATCAACGAACTGAATGGCTATGTTGGCTATGTAGAATTACTCGAAGCTACTCTTCACAACTCCAAAACTTTATCGCGTTGAACGTCGCGAACAACATGGCAGGGTGCCAAGTTGGTCAAAATCAGGGCTTGGTGCACCCCATCTCGAACATCCCAGGGTCATCCTCCACCATTGGATTCTCCTACAATATCATTGGATATCATGGGACAACAAGCTTTAGACTGGGAAATCTGAGATACACTATGGACATCTATGGACATCTATGGACATCTATGGGACCATTTCAGGCATGATTTCTGGATATTTCTGGAGATCCAAAAAGCCCAAAGCAGTCCTCTAGCCTCTGGGTGAAATTCTCAGTTTCCTCGAGGTTTAGCCCTTCTTGCGCAACCACCTCCAGGCCCGGAATGTGGTCAGAAACTCGCCCCAAAAATCCCAATTTATGGGGAGATCTGCAGGATTTTCAGCATGGAAAACTGCAGGAAAGGTATTCAAAAAAGATGACCAGTCCATCTACATCTACAAGGCCAAATCGCTGGACTCAGATACCTGTTTTCAACGTGCAGAGTATCTTGTAATGACGCGAAACTACTTCTGGATCAATGACCACGTGACACTATAGAAGTAACCCATTGAACAAACAGCAATAAGCTACAAATAGTGCAGAGCTCATGTTTATGTATCCTGTCTTGAATATCAACATGCTGTCTATGATACAGTAATTGTCTATGTGCTGCATGCTTCTTTTTCCACTCCGAAATCGTATCAAGCAGGACGGCGGTCGATAGTGTACATCAAGCTGAGCCTCCAAAAACTAGTTGTGCTCCAATCCCCCAAGGTGCCACTAGTCTTCTTTGGCTGTGCCAAGGCCTAAAGAACCATGGCCTCAAACCTCACGTTTCAGGGCTGCAACGGGAAATGCCTTCACGACGGTCTTGGCAGGCCGGGCCTTCATCATCACCTCCTTGCCGAACATCAACTTCTTGCCAGCCTTGGTTGCTGGCTTCTGGCGAGTCTTGATCATGCACAGCCCTGGAAGAATGAACTTGCCAGACTTCTTCACCTCCTCTGTGCCAATCTCTGCCCGACTGTTCAAGACCTTGGCGATGTCAGCTTTTTTGATCTCCGTGGCGTCAGCCAACGAACCGGTGAGGCCTCCCTTGGTCATGGCCTTCTGACCCTTCATGGCTTTCATGGCAACCTTCTTTGCCTTCATCACCTTCATTGCAGGGGCCATGATGTTGGAATGGGAGAGAAGTCTCAGAATCGACAGCTTGAGCCCAGATTAACTTTGGTGCTGAAAATGTGAACATCCAGCCACCAGCAAGCTCAAGCACTCTGAGGATGCAACCAGCCAATGCAAATCACAACCCAACTGCAAATCTGTTTTCAACCAAAGGATCACCATTCGGACACCAATTCTCCTAGTATGAGCTGTTCTACGTGCAGAGTATCTTGTAATGACGCAAAACTACTTCTGGATCAATGACCACATGACACTATAGAAGTAACCCATTGAACAAACAGCAATAAGCTACAAATAGTGCAGAGCTCATGTTTATGTATCCTGTCTTGAATATCAACATGCTGTCTATGATACAGTAATTGTCTATGTGCTGCATGCTTCTTTTTCCACTCCGAAATCGTATCAAGCGGGACGGCGGTCGATAGTGTACATCAAGCTGAGCCTCCAAAAACTAGTTGTGCTCCAATCCCCCAAGGTGCCACTAGTCTTCTTTGGCTGTGCCACGGCCTAAAGAACCATGGCCTCAAACCTCACGTTTCAGGGCTGCAACGGGAAATGCCTTCACGACGGTCTTGGCAGGCCGGGCCTTCACCATCACCTCCTTGCCGAACATCAACTTCTTGCCAGCCTTGGTTGCTGGCTTCTGGCGAGTCTTGATCATGCACAGCCCTGGAAGAATGAACTTGCCAGACTTCTTCACCTCCTCTGTGCCAATCTCTGCCAGACTGTTCAAGACCTTGGCGATGTCAGCTTTTTTGATCTCCGTGGCGTCAGCCAACGAACCGGTGAGGCCTCCCTTGGTCATGGCCTTCTGACCCTTCATGGCTTTCATGGCAACCTTCTTTGCCTTCATCACCTTCATTGCAGGGGCCATGATGTTGGAATGGGAGAGAAGTCTCAGAATCGACAGCTTGAGCCCAGATTAACTTTGGTGCTGAAAATGTGAACATCCAGCCACCAGCAAGCTCAAGCACTCTGAGGATGCAACCAGCCAATGCAAATCACAACCCAACTGCAAATCTGTTTTCAACCAAAGGATCACCATTCGGACACCAATTCTCCTAGTATGAGCTGTTCTACGTGCAGAGTATCTTGTAATGACGCAAAACTACTTCTGGATCAATGACCACGTGACACTATAGAAGTAACCCATTGAACAAACAGCAATAAGCTACAAATAGTGCAGAGCTCATGTTTATGTATCCTGTCTTGAATATCAACATGCTGTCTATGATACAGTAATTGTCTATGTGCTGCATGTTTCTTTTTCCACTCCGAAATCGTATCAAGCGGGACGGCGGTCGGTAGTGTACATCAAGCTGAGCCTCCAAAAACTAGTTGTGCTCCAATCCCCCAAGGTGCCACTAGTCTTCTTTGGCTGTGCCACGGCCTAAAGAACCATGGCCTCAAACCTCACGTTTCAGGGCTGCAACGGGAAATACCTTCACGACGGTCTTGGCAGGCCGGGCCTTCACCATCACCTCCTTGCCGAACATCAACTTCTTGCCAGCCTTGGTTGCTGGCTTCTGGCGAGTCTTGATCATGCACAGCCCTGGAAGAATGAACTTGCCAGACTTCTTCACCTCCTCTGTGCCAATCTCTGCCAGACTGTTCAAGACCTTGGCGATGTCAGCTTTTTTGATCTCCGTGGCGTCAGCCAACGAACCGGTGAGGCCTCCCTTGGTCATGGCCTTCTGACCCTTCATGGCTTTCATGGCAACCTTCTTTGCCTTCATCACCTTCATTGCAGGGGCCATGATGTTGGAATGGGAGAGAAGTCTCAGAATCGACAGCTTGAGCCCAGATTAACTTTGGTGCTGAAAATGTGAACATCCAGCCACCAGCAAGCTCAAGCACTCTGAGGATGCAACCAGCCAATGCAAATCACAACCCAACTGCAAATCTGTTTTCAACCAAAGGATCACCATTTGATCACCAATTCTCCTAGTATGAGCTGTTATACGTGCAGAGTATCTTGTAATGACGCGAAACTACTTCTGGATCAATGACCACATGACACTATAGAAGTAACCCATTGAACAAACAGCAATAAGCTACAAATAGTGCAGAGCTCATGTTTATGTATCCTGTCTTGAATATCAACATGCTGTCTATGATACAGTAATTGTCTATGTGCTGCATGCTTCTTTTTCCACTCCGAAATCGTATCAAGCGGGACGGCGGTCGTAGTGTACATCAAGCTGAGCCTCCAAAAACTAGTTGTGCTCCAATCCCCCAAGGTGCCACTAGTCTTCTTTGGCTGTGCCACGGCCTAAAGAACCATGGCCTCAAACCTCACGTTTCAGGGCTGCAACGGGAAATGCCTTCACGACGGTCTTGGCAGGCCGGGCCTTCACCATCACCTCCTTGCCGAACATCAACTTCTTGCCAGCCTTGGTTGCTGGCTTCTGGCGAGTCTTGATCATGCACAGCCCTGGAAGAATGAACTTGCCAGACTTCTTCACCTCCTCTGTGCCAATCTCTGCCAGACTGTTCAAGACCTTGGCGATGTCAGCTTTTTTGATCTCCGTGGCGTCAGCCAACGAACCGGTGAGGCCTCCCTTGGTCATGGCCTTCTGACCCTTCATGGCTTTCATGGCAACCTTCTTTGCCTTCATCACCTTCATTGCAGGGGCCATGATGTTGGAATGGGAGAGAAGTCTCAGAATCGACAGCTTGAGCCCAGATTAACTTTGGTGCTGAAAATGTGAACATCCAGCCACCAGCAAGCTCAAGCACTCTGAGGATGCAACCAGCCAATGCAAATCACAACCCAACTGCAAATCTGTTTTCAACCAAAGGATCACCATTCGGACACCAATTCTCCTAGTATGAGCTGTTCTACGTGCAGAGTATCTTGTAATGACGCAAAACTACTGCTTCTGGATCAATGACCACGTGACACTATAGAAGTAACCCATTGAACAAACAGCAATAAGCTACAAATAGTGCAGAGCTCATGTTTATGTATCCTGTCTTGAATATCAACATGCTGTCTATGATACAGTAATTGTCTATGTGCTGCATGCTTCTTTTTCCACTCCGAAATCGTATCAAGCGGGACGGCGGTCGATAGTGTACATCAAGCTGAGCCTCCAAAAACTAGTTGTGCTCCAATCCCCCAAGGTGCCACTAGTCTTCTTTGGCTGTGCCACGGCCTAAAGAACCATGGCCTCAAACCTCACGTTTCAGGGCTGCAACGGGAAATGCCTTCACGACGGTCTTGGCAGGCCGGGCCTTCACCATCACCTCCTTGCCGAACATCAACTTCTTGCCAGCCTTGGTTGCTGGCTTCTGGCGAGTCTTGATCATGCACAGCCCTGGAAGAATGAACTTGCCAGACTTCTTCACCTCCTCTGTGCCAATCTCTGCCAGACTGTTCAAGACCTTGGCGATGTCAGCTTTTTTGATCTCCGTGGCGTCAGCCAACGAACCGGTGAGGCCTCCCTTGGTCATGGCCTTCTGACCCTTCATGGCTTTCATGGCAACCTTCTTTGCCTTCATCACCTTCATTGCAGGGGCCATGATGTTGGAATGGGAGAGAAGTCTCAGAATCGACAGCTTGAGCCCAGATCCCTTCAAGTAGTGAGCAGCCATTGGAGCAGCTTGGGATAAATTGCAGGTACATTATTCTTGGACGGAACTTGCAATCAAGGTAGATAGTCGATACAAACCTGTTGAAATCCAGTCATGCCAAATATAACGTTGAAAGTTCGCAAGACATGAAACCACCATTAATCTAGCAATATTTCGCTGCTAGAGCACAGGCATCTTGACCTGTGGCCATGTGAGTGGCGTCATCGCCTCCCAATCAGAGTAGGTGTAGTTCAGACTGGTATACATCAAGGTACGCCTCGGTCGGGTCATCGAAACCCGCAGGCCATGTGGCCGAGCATGGCCCAAAATATCGAATGATCCGATGACATCCACAAAAATCTCCCATGATCTGCGTCCGATTCAGTTGAGATGAGTTGAGATTTCAATATATATATATGTATACCCTCTGGTCAACTAACAGTTTGCTATTGAAAATGGCCCAGTCGAAATGGTGGATTTACCCATTAATAGCTTGGTGATGTTCCATGGTTACGTAAACGTTTACCAGAGAGAGTATATATATATATCAACTGGATGTCATATATATATATATATTCAATTTCCATATCATATATATCTGTATTTTACCAGGTCAACCGACAATGGGGTAAAATCCGCTAAGCTGCTGATACTTTTGAACCAACGCTACAGAGTAGATCGATGATATATACACTACATGGTTTTACTGGAGGAGTTTTTACACCCCCCTCGGGCGAGCAGGGACGACTGCGGAGAACGAATAACCCAGAAGAGCATACCCTCGCGGGTAGCCAAATTTCTTTAGTTGGTTTTGATCATTTTTATGCAGTCTTTCAAAGGTCCCTTTAAAAAGCTCAAGCCCGTAAAACCCAGCGCAGCTTTGCAAGGAAGGCACATTACCATGCCGCATCTTGCGCTATGCTACAAAAGAAAATCATCGTCTACCTGCGGTTCCAATAGATCCACCGGCCGCCGGCCTCGTCACGGTAATACCAAGCCCCACGCCAGAAACTCCATTCTCGGCGTGCACCATAGTGATCACGATTCCAACTCCAGGAGGCATCCGGGCGACCGGAGCTTGCAGCCTTTGATGTGACTCCTGTGCTTGCTGCTTTTGCAGTGGGCGGTGTCTCAGGCTCCAAGAATGGTCGCGCTCCTGCTTTGGATGTTGGTGGTTCGGGTGCAAGAAATGGTGCATTGTTGGGGTCAACTGGGGCATCAGCGTGCGAGGCATCTGCGCGAGCAGAGCTTGAGGCGGCAGTGTCATCATGTGTGGTGACGGATGCATCAGCTTCGGCTTTGCGTTTTCGCTCAGTGGTGGGCGCGACCGTGGGGTCGGCCTTATGACCTCCAGGACCTCCAGCCTTTGCAGCGGCGCTCTGCTTCTCTTTGCGTTCAAGGTTTCCCCGAACCAATGGAAGATTTTCCTCATACACCTTTTCGAGGAATTCAAGAGTGCCATCAAAAGGAACTTGGACAGTGCCCTTCCAGGTCAAAAGGCCACGGAATGCGCCACGACGACCGATGTAGCTGACATATTCATCCTCTGTAAAAATGTGGCGGCCGAACATGAATCCCCAGACCTTCTTCCATGTTTTGCGGAACTCAACTGGGAAACCATCAACACCTCGAGGCTGGGACATGAAAATCAACTTAGATAAGCAGTTTTCATTTTGGGCATTGGCGGCGACGCCAGCCGAGATCTGAGCTTTGGTCCTTGGGGGATCGGGGAGGTTGCCATATGCGAACATGTCGTCGAATATGCAGTCCTGCAGGTCCTTCCCCTCACCGTGGATGCGGTCGCAAAAGGTGACGTCGCTGGAGTATCTGTCTTCCACGTCCTCGTAGCCCAGCGCTTTTGCACGTCGATGCCTGTCGCGGCAGTCTTTGAGGACTGCTGATTCCACGGATGTGATTCCCCTGGGGCCCAGTTCCCGGCGAAGCAGATTGGCTTGCTCATCCGTCAAGGCTGTCAGCAAGCTTCCGCTCATTTTCCCAAACATTCCGAACCCGGCGAGACTTTGCATTCGCCGTTCAAGGATGCGTGTCCTCCTGTTGGGTTTGTCGGCCTCTTTTGTATCGCCACTTTCGTCCACTGGGAGTGGTTCATATCCACATGTGGTGCATGTCACTTGGCCACTGACGTACTCAACCTGGCAGAGGGGGCAGGAGCCCATGAAAGGTTCGCAGTACTTGGGTGCAATGTAAACACGGCGCGTCCTTGCGGGCGGCTGGTCAACTTGCATTGGGGCAGTGGCTGCATCATCATCAGTGGACTTGGCATCGGGTCGCCCCGTGCTGGTGTCATCCATTGGGTCGTCATTTGCATCATCTCGGGCAGTCAGGGTGACCGCTTTGGATTTCGGTGCTGAGGCTGATTCCGCGCCTGTCCATGAGCTGGGCTCGAGATTGCTCTCGGCGCGGGACCAAAGCACCTGTCCTTCTTCTGAGATGCTGACCAGAAACTGCGGTGGAATGCGTTCTGAACACAAAATACCATCCATTTCTGTGCGACTAAAGATGACACCAGCTTCTACTGCTTGCCGCATTGCGATTTTGACTTCGACTGGACATTTTGCTCTTAATCCAGATCGATACCCCTGTGTGCCGATACAGTGTTCTGCCATGTAGATATGAGCACGGCCACTGTTGACTGTGTCACCGCCGCCTGGGATCAGGCCGTTCTGTGCGATGCTCTTCCAGCTGCTTCTCATCGTGCGATGGAAGACAACCTCAGGGACCTCAGTCATGGCACACAAGGGCACGCCAGTGAAGGCGGCTTTTCGCTCGGGGGATACTTGGTTTGAGCAATACACCATGGTTGAATTGGCATAAAGACCCCCTGCGGTTTTCAAGGCAGCTTCAGAGTGACCCTGAATTGCACGGATTTTCACAGGATAATACGGCATGCCTAGGCCATTGTCGACAGGAAAATGGGAGATCTTTGCACACAAGAATTGGAACCTACTCTTGCCATGCTTGTCGATCTTCATTGCGGTGCCAAACAGGTTTGCGACAGTGATGAAAACATCTGGGGGCACTTCCTTGCGGAAGGCTTTGGCAAAATCCTCCAAGTCAATCCAAAGGTCTTTGTCCATTGGCACCTTGGCACAGGATCCATGCCCCCTGCAAACTTTGTTGACACGAGTTGCAAAATCAGAAAATTTCTTGTCGACACGAGTCTGGCCAGCAATGGTCTCAACGTCGGATGCCGATATCAGCTCCAGCTCATACGCCGTACCTTCAAAGAGGATACCGGGCACATCGTCCCCGTCTGCATTGGTCACCATTGTATATTGGTATTCAGGCAAATGCTCTTCCATCCAATATGCTTTCACGTGGCCGGATGCATGTCCCTCTAAGCGCGCAGTTGCCTGCGGCTGGTACTGGCTGGATGTGGCTCTCTTGTCATCTGCGGGCTCATCCAATGGTACTGGCGCTGCTTTCGGCCGCGACTTCAACATGACCTCAGCCGTTTGGACCAGGATTGTTGCTCTGCTGGATGCAGCGGGCTCGCCGTCGCCGGCGGCCTTTGGAGGGTCATCTTTGGGAGGCTCAGCAAAAGTGCCCGAAGGCATCGTCTTGGTGTCGATGTAGTCCTCAGTGTCAGGTTGTTGAGCTTCGACGTCCTCCTTGGTGAATGACCTGCCCGTCGGCGTGATGTGTCTCCGGGACTCTCCAAAAAGCAACTTGGTGATGTTTGCACATGTCTCCTGATAGGATCTTGGCAGCTCGTCCAGGACGGCGCTCATGTTCCTCCGCAAATCATCCCATGTCTCCTGGCCACACTGAGTAAGCTCCAAACCAATTCGGCCAACCCGCCATCCGCAATCAATTGCGAAAAGGGTAGCTGTCCAATAGGCAGCAAGACGCGTGCGATTTTCTTCAGAGTTGGCGAAATGCCACTGGTCTCTGAATTCCATTGCATCGGCGTACCCCTTTGCTCTCAGCCACGGATACTTCGGATTGGCAAGCCCTTGCAGGCTGCTGGTTAGAGCTTTAAATCGGGGCTCCAAAACATCAAAGAACTGGTCAAAGATAGGATGGATGCCATAATCTGCGCTCCAAGGCGCGGTCGTGAGACCGGCCGACTGCAAATCCAACTCCCGGGCCTTGTTGACAAACCATGTCAAGTGGCGCTCACAATCATCCAGGATCGTGGGCCAGTGCCCGTTGGGGCCGTCGTACGGCCAATTTGGATTTTGGGCAATCCCATCCTCTCCTACCAATTCATTTCCGAACCAGGACAAATGCAGGTTGATGCGTGCATCAGGATAGCGCTCGCGGGCGTCCGCGGCCAATTCAATCCCACGCTTGACCAGCTTCTGCAGAGTTTTGCCCCAAAGCATCTCATGGATGAACTCAGTCACATACTTAGGCTTGCGCTGCCGGTAATGCTCGGACAGGTCAAACTTCTTAAGTGTTTTCCTACGCCCTGTGATCAATGCACATGACGAGTCAGAGACTAAGATCCAGATTACATCATTGACGGGCATCTCTGGCAACATGATCTTTTCAATGTGGGACTCCTTTGGCAAAAAGCAGAAGCTAAGGTATTCTGCAAGCGGATCCTCTCGACCGTAGAACCTCAGGGCCGAAGCCGGCGTCCATTCAGTCATCAGTCCATCCACGAGGTCCTGAGCAGCCTGATTCTCACCTTCATTGCGCATGGCCAATGCAAACAAAATGCGATTGTGAAGGAGCAACCATGCTTCTTTGTTAGCCTCACGTGTGGCTTCGAGCGCAGCCTCGCGGCTGGCCGGGTGTGCTGTGGCATATCGCGAGTCAGCCATTTTAGCAGGACAGGCACGAATGACAGCGGGTGAAATCCTTTTGGATGTTTGGCCCACCACAGCTACCCGGAAACACTCATGGAGCATGTCAGTCAACTTGAAGGTATAGTTCTCAGCAAGTTTAAGAGCTTTGCCCCTACTTTGATCATGCTCATGTTTGCCATCACATTTGAATGAGTCTAACACTTCGAGTTCTTTGAAGTTTCCTGCAATAGTCCAACTTTTCTTCATTGGTTGACCGTTGTTTCCAAGAACACCCAACATACAACCATCAAAGTGATGAGTAGTCATGGATCGTTCTATGAGGAATTTTCTAACCATCGGCCATCTCCAATATTTGCAATTCTTGGACAGTTCAAATGCTATCAAGGTTCGTTCATCACAAACTTCATCCACAAGTTTGACAAAAGATTTGAACAACTTGGTAAACTGTTTTTGTTGCTCTTTGATTCTTTCTTGACCCTCAACAGTAAGGCCATTCACA